CCTCATTGTTTCTGCTGGTGTTGGTGAATCTAAAGCCGGTATCTCCAGGAATGGGCTACAAACTTTTGGCTTACATACCGGGTGCGAAACAGCTAATTGTTGGTGTTAACAAAATGGATTCCTTTGAGCCATCCTACAGCCAGAAGAGCTAAGAAGAAATTATTAAGGAAACAAGTACTTACATTAAGAAAATTGGCCAGAACCCTGAAACCATAGCATTTGTGCCAATTTCTGGTTGGAATGGTGACAACATGCAGAGACCAAGGGCTAATACGCCTTGAGGGGTGGTAGGTTACCCGCAAAGATGGCATGGCCAGTGGACCCACACACTTGAAGCTCTGAATTGCACCCTGCCACCAACTCACCTACCTGACAAGCCCCTGTGCCTGCCTCTCTAAGATGTCTACAAATCGGTGGTATTGGCATTGTCCTGTGGACAGATCGAAACCAGGGTTCTGGAACCTGGCCTGGTGGTCACCTTTGCTCCAGTCACTGTCCCCACGGAAGTGAAATCTGTTGGAATGCACCATGAAGCTTTGAGTGAAGCTTTGCCCAGGGACAATGGAGGCTTCAATGTCAAGAACATCTCTGTCAAAGATGTTCGCTTTCGCAGTGTGACTGTTGACAGCAAAAATGACCCACTAGTGGTACCTAGGACTTGAATATACATCTTTTTGAGGGGATGCATTTCAATCCACATCCATTTTCAGTGATAAACTTACAAAAAAGTTTTATTGACATGTACTTCACATAGCATACAATTTAATCATTAAATTATATTAAGAAAATTTGTGCTATCATTACTGTAATCAGTTTCTGAACATTGTCTTCTCATACTCATTGTTGTCAGCTTCCTTAATTCCCTTATCCACCCCTGCCATGGTGCTAGACAATTATCAATCCAATTACTGTCTCTATAGATTTACCTATCCTGGATTTCATATACTAAAAATCATACAAAACACAAACAGGAAGCACCAAGTAAGCAAACAAACAAAAAACTTCCCAACAACAACTATATAAAACACAGAAAAAACTCAATCAAAAAGAAAACAGAAAAATTTAAACACTGAAATAATTTAAAAATGGGTTAAAAGGGTGATCTCTCTTTTGTAATCTAACTACATCTGCCATAATCAGCTTTACAATGCTGTCTGATAGCAAGGCTATTCACATCTCTCGTTTATGGTCCGGGGATTCACGAGCCTTATTCCACGTGTGGACCCTGCAAATGGATTTTGGGCTTCCAATGTCATCCATTCGCTTGTGCAAACCAGGTGATCATAATTTAAGCTCTTGATACCATTCTCTCCTTTGGATTTGGATTTTATTATTTGCAATCTTGGGGATCTCACAGGCTTGTGTGCTTCTTCCATGTGGACTTAGTTGATGCCTCACGTAGCTGCTAGTTTGAAGACAAGTCTGTAAGACCTAGGACATTATTCTAAGAGCAGACACCATCTAGGTTCTTTACCACACTTGTTCTCGCACCCATATCTGCAGTTACCTCTTCATGAGGGCAAGCGTGATAAGCTTTTCCTCAAACATTTGTCTTACAGTGCAACCCAAGCGTGATCATGTTCTCCATGTGACATTCCCCAAAGAATGGAAAACCAGCGACCTTTACCAGCTTTTCAGTGCCTTTGGTAAGTAAATCAGAAATAAACTAAGGTTCGGCTTTCTTTAGCCTTGGTGGTCAAAGATAAATGTAAGATTTTACTCTCAGTCACAGAATTTTTGTTTGACTGTTTAGTTATCTTTATGGTAATGAGCCCTGGTGATGTTGTGGGTTAGGCTGCTAACTGCAAGGTTGGTAGCTCCAACCCACCGGCTATTCTTTGGGTGAAAGATAAAGCTCTCTGCTTCTGTTAAGATTCCGTCTCAAAAAACACTTAAGGTCATTATGTATTTGAATTGACAGAGGGCATATTGTTGGCAGAGGGTGTATTTGTACTATAAAATCTGAGGAATTTTTAATGGCGGCTGACCATAGGCTGCTAGTAAGCCATGGAAATTGGTGGTTAGCAGCCGAGAGGGTTACTAGCCATGTAAATTAAGATACAATTACTCTTACTGATTTTACTACTAACTAACACTGGAAAGTAGGTGTTGGCCAATGATAAATAGTTTTAAGCTTAAATTCAGGGAAAACGTTTTATAAGTTAGGCTTTGTTGGATATTAGATAATGAAACCAAGCAAGCACAGGTATTTAGCATACCAAGGTTTGTAATACATGTGAGATGGGGCAAGTCTTCTCTCTCCCTTTTAGCAGGTCAGGAGATTAGGTCAAAGTGGTTAGTCTTTAGAAAGACCCTTCTGATTATGAACCTTTAATTATAAAGTCTCTAAACTCTGCTCTTTGAATTTTATTAGATAAAAGTGAAAGCAGTAAGAAGTCTTCATTTTCAATGTGGATGCTTCATGTGTGTGCATGTCCTCGATGGACTGCTGCTGTTAGTGCCTTGAGTTGCTTCTGACTCCCAGGGACCTATGTCCAACCGAACAAGACACTGCCCAGGCCCGTGCCATCCCCCCACTTGTGACTGTGTTTGAGCCCACTGCTGCCCTCACTGTGTCATTCCCTCGTGTCGGGGATCTCCCTTTTTTAAATGTCCTTCTGCTTTAGCAGCACTAGTGTATCTTGATAACATGTCCAAAGTGTGTGGCACTAGTATGCAGCTATTTTGAAAATATTTGAAGCGTTTATAAAAGATG